GTAGGCCGCCCGTTGGAACTCTTTCTGGCAACATAAACTCCACGAAAGAGCTTTCGAGCGTAACTAAATCGCACTGATGGACACAATCCCGGAGAGCGGTTGATTCCCACTTCAAAATAGGTTCCCATTTTTCTCGCAACCTTGTTAATTCCCAATATCGAATCATCCAACACTCAATCAAACCGTGGAAACAACCGCAATGGGTCATGTCAGAAACAAATAAATGAAAACAAACAAACNGCACTGATGGACACAATCCCGGAGAGCGGTTGATTCCCACTTCAAAATAGGTTCCCATTTTTCTCGCAACCTTGTTAATTCCCAATATCGAATCATCCAACACTCAATCAAACCGTGGAAACAACCGCAATGGGTCATGTCAGAAACAAATAAATGAAAACAAACAAACACAAACGCATACACATACAACACCGTCCGGGACAAATCACTTTCCGAGGATATCTCACACCCACAAGTAGCAGAAAAAAAATGAATCATGGTTGATGGCACAAAATGCCCGACTCCATCCCTCATCCTATTATTCCTCGAACACAAACCTCCGTTCAGTTTCCAACAAAACAGTCCATTTCTTCCTGCATACCCTACCCACACATGTCTGGTTACGGCCCCCCTTCTCCGAACACCAGACATCAAGGGATCAACCCTCATCGTGACAAACGCATCCTGTGATATTTGGGTGCTGAGAGCAACACCAAAAACCGCAACCTGCATTGTGAACGAAATCAAATCCCGAACTTTATAAATCGACCTTCGAAAGCAGGCGAAACATTCCATTTTTCGTGATGTTGCGGCAATTCATTGTCATGACGCACCAATTCCCTCCCCTATGACGATTGACAACAGCATCAAAAACATTGCATTTTATAGAAATAGAGAGGTTACCCCTGGTCGATGGTGGTACATGGAAAGGCGTGCCAAACACACAGGGGACAACGCAGATAGAGCCTTCTGCCAAGAAAAATGCCACACGAAGAAAGAAAAAAATATCAAAGACAACAAGCACATTGTAGCGGCCTTCACGACATGGCCGCAAGGATTCAATCCAATAACCCTGTTCCATCACCATGATCTTTTCTGAACAGTTTCAACGCAGCCTTCATGTCGTCAAAATATTCTTCCAGCTGTAATTTCAATCGCAAAACCAAATCCGAAAGAACTCCTAAACAAGCCAAAACTAAATCCAAACAAATAAACAAATCCGGCACAACTCAAACAAAACAATATTACAACTTCTTGGGCGACAGAAACGAGTATTCGGAAAGCACAGAGGCCCCAACAATCACTCCTGCCAACTCCTTTCTCCAGTATAGCCTGCGAGGACCAAAGATTCCGCACACACACGCAAATCGGTGCCGCCGTTGCTGTCCAAGAAATGGATAGAAAATTCAACAAACATGTAGACAGCCCCCTTCTGTCACATCCCGAAACATACCCCTTATATTTTCAGCATTCATGCAAGAACACTCCGCGAATATCGATACGCCAACAAACAAACGTGCAGACAGCCCCCCTGCAAAGGAAGCTGTTCACATGGAAAAACAATAGCAAATCGATTGATTTTTATGCCCTTTAGAATCATGGTCACACATGACATTCTCCCCCCATGATTCTGGATGTACATTACAGCAACAAAGAAGAAAATGCCAGTGCATAGTAGAACGCGCTGCTAGATAGAACGCCAAACAAATCAAAACTAAACACGTAACCCATATTGTTAGATCAGACTCGATGTCGTCGCGCGATGCGAGGCGCACCACGAGCCCAAACGAAATGCCGAGGGGCGACCCCCAGCAGGTTGCTCTTGGTGTCCCGCATGCACCCCTCCCAAACATGCTGTTCTCCATTGCCCTCCATCTCGCCTTCCCCCAGCTCGCCGCCCCTCAACTCACCGGCCCCTACCATCCTAGGTCAAATCATCGGCTTGCCGTTCAATACACGCCGGGTTGCGTGCTCCGAAGAAGGCGATGTCGACGACGACGCGCGGGCGGTGGCTGGAGCGATCTATGTACCTTCTGCGGCGGAATGCTGCTGCGACGACGAAGTGGCGGCGGCGGCACTCCTCGCCGCGGGCGTCCTCGGGCCCGGCAGCTTGGCGGCACCCGGCGAAGGCGCAAGCGGTCCATCGGTCTCAGAGGTCGGCGGCGACCGCAACGGCGCGGTGGCGATAACGGCGGCGGGCAGCGGAGCGGCGGTTGTCTTCGTCGCGGTCATCCGCGGGTCCCGCAGCGCGGCGGGACCCGGCGAGGGTGCAGACGGCACGCCGGCCCTGGGGTTTGGCGGCAGCGGCGACGGTGCGGCGGCGGCGGCGGCGGCTGCAGTCCATGGTGCGCCACCAGCGGTGTGCGACGGCGACGATGAAGTGGCGTCGGCGGTGGCAGGTCGCCACGGTGCAGCGGCAGCAGTGGTCGGCGAAGTGGTGATAGCACCCCCTGCGGCGGCGGCGACGGCAGGCCAAGGCGCAGCGGTGGCAGCGGGCGGCCAAGCGGCAGTGGTCCCGGGTTCCAACTCCCGGGGAGGGTGTTCCCTTATTGCTTGGCAGTTAAACTCAAAATGGGTTCGGGAAAGTGGCCAGCGCGGTGGTGGAAAACTTCAACATCCATTTGTTCGGCACGATCCAACACAGCCACATCACACTCAGGCGCTACTCCTTCCCTCGCATTAAACATCCCCGCACTCGTCCCCGAGTCTCCTTGCAACTGCTCACCACCTTTGGGTGTTGACATCCTGGTGTGGCATACCGGAGCTTGAGAGGTTACAGCAGGATTCACTACAGGAACAACAGGAACATCAAGCACAGACATACCAGCAACGGGAACACCAGACACTTCCCCATCACTAACAACTCCAATCTCATTTTTCCAGACACAGAATCAGATTCGCCTAGAGAATTCACACTACGTGTGAGGAAAAGACGAAGAGGGACGCCACTTGCTGGAGGAATGTCGCCCGGAGGTGGAGAGGGGGTCGCCGTCGGGGAGGCAGAGGTCGTTGGAGTAGCGCCGGTCTACTGCTGCTGTTGCTGTTGCTGTTGCTGCTGCCGCTGCTGCTGCTGCTGCTGCCGAGTCGCCGGCTGAGTAGCGGTGCTAAAGGCCTCGTTGAAGACTCGCTGCTCATCATCGTCGGGCCCAGCAGAAAGGGGACAGAACGAGCGGCCCCGACCCCAGCTTGCCCCTTGGTCCAGTTGGTGCAGCTGCTCTCGATATGATCCGCCCGACAAGCGCCCCGAGTCTTGCCCCCGGGCCTGAGGAAAACCTGGTCCCCGCATACTGTCCCTCTCGCATGGGGTGGAACAGAATACGGTCTTTGACATCGTCGTACATTGGGAACAAGCCAAGGGCAATCAATGTGTCTCGACATGAACGTCTCCTCTCGATTGTCCCCACAAGGCTGTAATTGCGTCCACACAGTATTCGCCCTTCCCCAGTAGTCGACCAGAGTCTCTCCATGCTTCTGCCTTAGACAGTTCCAAGTGTCGTCCAGGATTTCTCNTTGCATCCACACAGTATTCGCCCTTCCCCAGTAGTCGACCAGAGTCTCTCCATGCTTCTGCCTTAGACAGTTCCAAGTGTCGTCCAGGATTTCTCTCTCATGCGTCCTACTTTTAGTGTAGTAGGACTGAAACACTCTCCACCCTGCTTGTGGACTCTCTGAAGGTAGTATCTGGTCTAGTATGGGTTGAACGTTGATTTTCGTGATCAAGTATATCCAGACCCTCGTGGCCATTCGAACACTTTCATCGCCAAACCTCTGCCGCAACCAAGTCTTATCGACGTGCAACGAACCCACAGGAATCTCTTCTCCTCTCATGATCTCTTCAAGACCCTATGCATCCATCCACGATGAGAAACAACTGGTGAAAAATTGGAACGCGACAGTCACACTTCGATCCTTCAAGAAAGCCTCATTCCACTCAGTCAGGTTCTTCGACTCTCTCTATCAGCTTCAACTCTATGGGCTGGGAACTACGAGGCGGAGGTGGCAGCCCGGCGGAGGAGGTCGACGAGGGCGATAGTTGGATCTTGTTCCCCTCCATCCGCGGCTGCTCTCGGTCCTCCCTGGTCCACATCGGGGAGGTTCAACGAATCTCGCCCTTTCCCCCCGTTGTCTTCCCCGTGGGGCGAGGAACTAGTCCCTGGTCCCCCCGGAGGTCTTCGTCCATCTCCTCCAGCCGTCATCTTCGCGTAGACACAGCAGCCACTCTCTTGATCTATTACGCTAGCGTGTTGGAGAGCTCGGAGCGCCCGGCGCAGTTGTAGACGGCATAAATGAAAGAACCGCGAGGCGAGTTTACCGGCAACGATAAAATACAGTAAACTGCCCGCGGGTGTGGTAACCCGCCGCATCTATCTGTGATGTTCCGGAGCGCGATAGCTCTGATGTGTTTGACGCTGGTGTTGCGATAGCTGTTGTGATGGCGTGGTAGCCTAGAGGTGTGACAGCCAGGCCGCGTGATAGCTGGTGGATATGTAGTATGGACACGGGCGTGATGGCCCAGAGCGTGATAGCCGGGCAAAGGAACACGAATATCTCCAAGGGCACGTGGCCAACACCGTTGTAGACACGTATAGCCAGAAAACAACAATATGTGGCAAAGATGGTACCACCATTCCCCCAATTTATCACAACTGCGGAACCCCCAAAATTCCCGCGTNGAGACCTTCAATTTGCACCGCTTCTTGGAATAGCCCGTCCCCTACTTGCCAAGAAATGGCAAGAGGCGTCTGGACCCGAAATTTCAATTTTTTTGGCTCTCGCTCTCAATCAGATACTTCGCTCTCAATCAGGCGAATATGTTGTTGCTAGCGTGTTGGAGAGCTTGGAGCGCCCGGCGCAGTTGTAGACGGCATAAAACAGCACGGCCATGTCTTCAACGCACACCCGCTAGCCAATTGGTCAACAACGGATGTATGTGCATGAACACGGGTCCTGCGGCGAGGTGGCAATAGGATGTGGTAATTGTCGCGGTTCCGGTCTTGGTGGTGGGGTGGGGTGCGGTGGTATGGTGGGGGGTGGGGGGGTTGGATACCCTCCCGGGTGTTTTCTGTTGAAGTTTGGGGAAAGAAAGGGAGACAAACACTGCTTGCTGTAAGACTGAAACGCTTTGTGTCAGCCGAACTCCCAATCAATCAAGACCACCGCTGGAAGAGACAACGAGATCTGTGAGACTGACACACTTTGCGCCAGCCAAACAATTCCAGGGGGTTCTGCTGTGCCCACGGTGCTCACGTTTGTTTCTTCACCATCTCGCCCGAAACTTTCCTATTTGGTCTGCGCCAATCCGATGAAACTGGCCAGCGTGCTGTGCGGGAACACCGATTGAGTTTGACTGCCGTGCCAACGGTCGTGCCAACGGTCGTGCCAACGGTGTTCGGCCTCATCATGTACAACGGCATGCAGCAATCACCCAGGCTTCGTTATCGGTATGCTACATGCACGAATGTCCGCATATACGCCGTGTTCTGCTGGTCGGCTGTAGAATGAAACGTTTACCCGTCGGATCCATCCTTGTTTCCGGTTTGAGGCCGCCACCACAGTGTCAAGTCTTCAAAGCACACGTGGTTTGGGCTTGGGCTTGCGGTGAGGTGGATACCATGGTTGTGGTGCACGGTGGAGTAAAAGATCACCCGCCCCGGATCGCGGATGAACGCGGATGAACATTTACCCGTCGTCGGATCATCATGGCTCGTCGTGGATCATGCCGAACATCTTTCATGCTGTCAACACATGTCGACTTCTGTTTTGGACCGGTACATCACGGTCATATCTTAAACACATCTATGAATCCATCTTTGTTGCTACACCCTATCGCCCGAAACTCACCAATTTGGTCGGCGCCAACAATAGTCTTCGCCAACACGACACAACACGACACGACGGAACTCGCCAGCGTGCTGTGCGGGACCACACCCGACCAGCGGACCATGGTGCAGGCGGACATACATGTAGACTACATGTAGCCTACCAAGGAATGAATGTGTCGCACGATGTGTCGCGCAACAGGACCGTTTGGCCGTGCTGATGCTCGGGCACACCACAGCCTGGGTGATGGCTGCACGCCGTTGTTATACGTGGTGAGGTCGAATACCGTTGGCACGACCGTTGGCACGGGCAGTCAACCTCAATCGGCGGTCCCGCACAGCACGCTGGCCAGTTCATCGGATTGGCGCAGACCAAATTGGTGAGTTTCGGGCAGGAGGGTATCGAAACAAACGTGAGCACCGTGGATAACAGCAGAACCCTGGAATTGTTTGGCTGGCACAAAGTGTTTAAGTCTCACAAAACTATTTGTCTCTTCCAGCGGTGGGCGTCATGGTTTGCAACGAGAACAAGGAGGAACCAGTAGAACATAGATGGAAGTGGGGGATCGAGGAGATTGTGTTTGCGGCCTACGCCACTTATTTATCGGGTGAGACTGTTTTGGTGATGTATTAACTTCACGGGAGGTAGACGACCATCCTTCACACGGACGAAAGAGGGAGTGCTCAAAGAGCGGCTCCCACAGCAAGGAGGGGCCCCGTGAATCATCGCGGTGCCCCCTATCAAACGGTTATCTTACCAGTCTGCGTGACACAAAATCATCCAGCACATGTATCCAACAGCAATGTTCGCAGACTCACGAACA